TGACAATACTAGATAAGACAATATAGCACAGGCGGATTTATGCTTTCGGGCTAAAGCCCCCCTCCCCCAAAATGGTAAAACGTAACCATGTTTTATGTTAAAAAATTATGTCTTAAAGTATTATTACTAGTTTAATTACATTTTATAGGATTTCAAGAATCACTTAAACACCATTTCAATAGGTAGTTAATATCTTTCTGTTTTTCGAAAGTAATTATCGTTATATATATGAAAGAAAAATCTATATCCGGGCTGAAGCCTCCCCCCAAAATTAAATACTGGATCCGCTATTGCAATTTAGTAATGGTGTTTCCTTATCTTATTTTTTATATGCCTTGTGACTTTCTAGAAAATTGAACTTTCCGCAGGAATCCAGCTGGTCTTATCTAAATTCAGCATAAATCATTGTCCATCGGCGGTGGATACAATCAAATGATAGATTACATCGATGTAATCAGCGTTCAGTTTAGGGACTCGCCCAAATAATATATATATGTAGTGACACTGGTAGTCTCGATGTTATATACAATAAAACAAAACCACCTACCAAGTTTCACTTACCTATTGCTCGTGACGTGATAGTGTTTCTAAATGTACAGGACCTACCGCATAGACTATCGCCCTCAAAAGTGGGACGTTGTAGGTACAGGTTCAGATAGACTCGGCCATGACACTACACAAATGTGATCCCGTCACTTAGATAACTGAAATAACTCCAACATCGTCCGTCACTTGTAAACCAATCCTCACAGAAAATTCGACGCATCCCATCACTTATGTGTGATTTAATGGACACATAATTGTAATTACTACGTGAGCATTGACAATCAATCATGACATGTCCACCCACTGCCCCAGCGATCCCTAGATATGTCCCTGATCCGTTGAATGACTCCTAATCACTCGGCCTGGCCGAGGATGATCCCTTCAGACTGGCTCATTAACAAACATCTCTAACTAGCTCTTGTGATGTAGATGGAGAGGATGGAAGATGGAGCAGAGGAGCAGATGCTATCGGGAGGAAGAGGTACGGCGGATAGATATGAGTTACCAATAATTGGAAAGCAATTAGCCCTGACAGAACAATGGCCAATTTCCTAAGGCGTGGCTCGTGCATTAGCCGCTCTAATTCTGACTCCGTCCCTCCCCCTCACTCTCTATTGTCATCGCGTTTCATCGGAGGGTCTAAAGATGGCGCTTGTGTCTTCTCATTCACTCTTCAGCAAGGCCACTAGTAACACGTCCAGAGTTGGGTTGGTTAGTTTTCTGATAAATTTTAGGATCGACAGCAGTTGACACAAGCAGATTCAGGTTTACAAAATCCAAGATTGACCAATTGTCCTGGATTCGAGTAGAGATTATGGATTAGGAAATAAATTTGTTTGTTTTTTTAACTACCTGCATTGCATTTTCAGAACTTGCACATTTGGATAAAATCAAAAGGACGTGTATGACCTCTCTGATTCCACTGTTCTGTAAAAAAAAAGTTTAATCCTTTGAAAAATTGTTTCTTATTTTTATATTTTCATCTGTGCAAAGTTCGAATTTGAAGTCCAAAAAATTCTATCAGGCACTATTTTTTGAGAGAATGAAGCTTGTGTGGTAAAAAAAAAAAATGCTGAAATGCTTATTTTTTTATTTCATTTATTTTCTTGTGAATAATATTAATAATATATAAAATAATAAAATATTTAATCTTAATTATAATATAGCTTTATGGCTAGGCAATGTTTGTCAACAGTTTCCCGTTGCAGTGTCCAACAGTAGTAAGCAAGCGTTTACCTCCCCTATACCTCTTCTCCATTTGTGCCTTATCTCGATTAAACCGTTCTCTGAGTTCATCTGAAACTGCTCCCAATTTCGGAAGGAAGAAATCCAAATGAGAGTGCACAATAAGAATTTTTGATGACATGTTCCGATTCATTACTTTATATGATAGAAGCAATTCTTTAACTATGCATTTGTAATTTGTAGCTCTTTTGTTGATCAAAAACTTCTGGCACAGCTTTTTTTTTTTTCGATTTCATTTAATTTTTCTTTTTATTTCCTTAAATAGAGCGCGTACTCGAGTCCTCGGATTTTTTTAATGTTGTATTACATTGTTATTAATGCTTCGAAATCAAATAGATTTTTTTCATTTTTCGTTGACGCTTTCAATTATGAAAAAATGGTCAAAATTTCAAAAACACCTCATTTTTTACCTACAACACAAGTTGATATACAACGGTAAATGATAGAGATTTTCTGTCTTTTGATTCAAGTTTACCTAACCTCAAAACATTTAAAAAAATTGTGTTAAATGGGAGATTTTTGATCACAGGCGTATTAACAGAGATTTTTTTAATGAAGGGAAATTTAATTTCCCAAAAAAAAAAAAAAAAAATGGTATTACTTTAACTAGACCATTTTTGAAGGGATTTTTTTTTAGGATTTTTTTACTTCGCTCAGTTTAGCTGCTCAAAAGTACTCTGTAAATGGTTTTACCAATGAAAAACTCTTTGTTAATTTAAAGTAAATTTCTTCTTGGTTATAATGAAATAATTGTTAATTACTTAAATTAAATATTTATTTAGTTATTGCTTTCGATTCAATAAAAAACAAGACTCACTTTAAATAACACAAAACAGGGATTTTCTACTTTTCTAGGATTGTATAGTAAGGAAATGTATTGTAATCTTAGAAAATTTCGAATAAGTGAATAGTATATATGTATACATATAATGACATTTTCAGGGGACGACAAGTCATCATACGTTATAATGTAGTACCCAATAAATTTAATAAACTCATTAAAAGACTAATTCAGGCGAAAAATTTAATTTTTCTTCGTCTTTATCAGTTAATTTTGACATATAATGAGCAAATCATAGTGAAATTCGAGAATACCAGAAAAAAAAAACACCAGTCCCCCGTGTATCCCATGAGACATCTTTGACAAATTATTTTGACAAGTCTCTGAGCCACTAAAGACATCGTCTCAGCCATTCTTAGCGAAACTGCATAATGGATACTTCACTTCATCTTATATACTTGAATTCATGGTTTAGCTGCGGAAGTAACAGCCGTATCAAGCTTCAACAACCATTTTTTTATTTCTTAAAAACATTTACAACTGTAAATAAATACATCTAGTAAATTTGAACATGGTGTATATAATGACATGAAAACACTTGCTAAGTAACTACCCAATGCTAGCACTCTAATGATATGTTTACATTAGGAGATCACGGGGCCATCTTCTTTTCAGATGCCTCGGAGCGTACAACCATTTTTAAATAAGAAGAAATACTAACAGACTTTGTCAGTCCTTAAAAAGACATAGTCCTTACGGTTGGAATTAATAACATCCACCTCAAAATTCATGAAAGGCTTTATCGTATCGTAACCTACAAAATTTGTATCATATGAAAATTCTCAAAAATGGGGCGTTTCATCATTAAATTGATTAATTTAATAAGTTGCAAAAAACTCATAAATACCCATTTGCTTTCCTCTTCGTAAGATAATTCGATTAAAAAATCGAAAAAGAAGGAATATTAAAAAAATATTGGGCCTAAATAACCTCACTATTTAGACATGTTGTAGATGGAGATCTCGTCCAACGTCCCAATATTTTTGTAGGTCACCTTTATTCTAGATATTTGATCAAATTATCTTACGATTCAAGTGGAAAGCAAATTAGTGTTGAAATGAGTTTTTAGTGATTAATTAAATAGATAATTTTTGCCGATCTCCAGGTTGAAAACGACCCAATGCCGAGAATTCTCGTAAATCAAAAGTTTGTAGGTTAGGATGAGATGAAGCTAGTCATGACGTTTATGGCGGGCATTAATAATTTCATAAAAAGGGGTCTGTCACACGGACAATAACCTTAAGAAAGGAAGATTTTTATTATTTAACAAGGCTTCATTTCTCTTTATACATCATTTATGTATAAATATAAATATAATATTTATATGTAAATATAAATATTATATATATATATATATATATATATATATATATATATATATATATATATATATATATTTTAATTGTATGAGTTTGGAAAAGATTTCGAGTCACTTTTCACTGAGAATTGTTTTTTTTCTATTTATAATATTTTAAGTCTTTGAGATGTATATATTTTTTTTTAAATATTGAACGCACTCCTCTATATGTATATTATCTTTTTTTTATTTTCTCCTATCAATTTACCTCTTACTATATAGATTATGAGACTTTTCTAATGTTTACAATACCATTATAACTACTTATTTTAACATATTACGGAACAAATATAAATCATTTATTATAAATATTTATTTTTCAATTATTATTTTTTTCATTACTACAATGGTTTGCTGACAAACGCAATTAATCGTCTTCTTCCAATTCCATTCGGTTATTTCTTACTTTATTGATTGTAGCAGTTATTTTGCATTATTGTGTTCTTATTGCTAATCTTTTTTTTTTTTTTTAATATATCTTTATGGTAATGTAAATACTTCTCTTATTACTTATGTTTTAGTTATTATTTTATTTTAATATGAATTTTGTCCAGATTTAATGTTAATTTGTATGGTCAATATTGTTATTCTTAAGGGACTTTGTCCCAGAATAAAGTTGATTCTTCTATTCTATTCTGAGAGCTATGTTTTTTTAGAGGAAAAAATGTGTTAGTCTTTTCTAATATTTAAAAAATGCTTAATACTTTAAATAAGCTAATAAAGAAACCATTATTGACAAGATTCAATGCTATTAATACAAATAAACCACAGTGGCTTCCATTCTACTTCTGCACAATATGTGCAATAATATTGTACTATATTCATTAATGTAACGAATAAATTAATTTAAAAACAATAGTTGTAAACTTTATATCGGCAAAATTTTAAACAAGACTTGGATTGAGGAACAAGGAGATATAATTGGGGAGGGTAAGACGTGAAGATAGGGAGAAAGCTCTTGGGCTGATTGTTTATATAGTAAATAGAAGGAGAGGTATATAATTGAACCCGATGGAGGATGTTATCGAAGACCCTATGGACCACCGGGAAGATAATGGCCATTTTAAATTTCTCCTCATCGGCTCCCGATGTTAGGGAAATGTTAAGGGTGCTGCCTACTCCAACAAGTAACTTATGCGGATCATCAAGACTGTCCTCCAAGTCCTATGCGTTCCCAATCCATCTCTTCTTTGACATTTGGTTGAAATGTTAAAGAAAAAGAACAATAAATACTTTATTTGTTGTAGAGAGCAGTATTCAATGTGTACAAGCATCGCTTTCTATATGTAAACTATCAATCAATATCTAATGTTAATGGTTGTTTAATCTCATCCGTTATTACTAGTGTTGCCTAAATGCGAGACCGAGACGAGTCTTAGTCTTGTAAACTCAGTCTTGGTCATGGTCTTGGGTTTGCGCAAGGATCTCGCAACAGTCTTTCAGTTACTTATTAGCTTATCAATATAGAGATATTATTGTAATTGTTTAGATAGGAGAGACCTAACTAAGCCCGAATGAAAAATTAAAGGAGTTAAATGCAAAATTATATTGGTTATAACAATTATTTACATACAGTAACGAATATTGTCAAGCATTAGTAACTATTTTGCCTTAATTTTTATTTAAAAAATCAATTTTTTTTTTACCAGCCCTGGTGTTGGTCTTGCGACAGTTATGCGGTCTTGATCTTGGTCTTGAGAAATACAAGACCAAGACCGATTTTGGGCAACACTGGTTATTACCAAGGCTCGGATTTCTATGCAGTGAAAATCCTCAGAATATGCCATATAATATGCAGTAAAAAAACCCTGAAATATGCAGCTAAATGTGTATTAAAAATGCAGTAACTGATATCTAAATATAACTAATTACTTGATTACTAATATATCAATACTATATTTAAATATAATGACGTGCCTACAAACAATTTTGCAATTTTACAAAAACTGCATAACTGATACTTCACTTCAGGTTATATGTGGTGTGATTGTCCTTTCTCTGAGAGATATAATGAGTGCCTGCAATTATCCGAATATTTGTCTTCAATGGTGACTCGTTGCAGTGTAGAGCGTTTCTACTATTTAAAAAAAAAGTGAATGAACTGTTCTTTGACAAGAAAGAATAGTAATAAAGGACTCTTGAAAAAAAAAATGGCTCGTGGAACAACTAGATGATTTTAAATGGGATCCTATTCGTTTTCGGTGGCGTCATTATTTAATAGTAGGTGAAAATTACAGATCTGAAAAAGAACGGAATGTCTCAGGAATGGATTTGGGCATTATTCGATTTTGTAACGTATACTTTTTCAATTTGTCTTTTATAATAGAACGTAAATATGACTATTTACGTTTTTGTAGAAACATTATGGTTTTTATAATACAGCATTAAGTACAATATTTAGATGGGTTCACTGAAATGTTTATACCACTTCAACACGCTTCCTGTAAGCTGTAAATACGATTGAAGTTACACATTAACGAAGTTTATATTGAACATATGGTATTTATAAATTACGGATCAAATCACAAAAACAGTAACCAGTGATAACCAGGTGACTAATGTTTTATCGTATTCGTTATGGTTTTTTGTTTATTTATAAAGCGATGAAAAGTAGTTCTGTAACAGTATGTAATTTTAATAATCACTACTGAACAATTCAACATTTAAATCACGGAACATAACCAGAAAAAAAAAAGAAGGGTACTGAGAGATATATTGGGTCTTAAAGCATGGTATGGAACAATCAAAACTTTTATTGCTTCCTCAAATTAAACATGAAATTTAATAAAACCTTGGATAGTTGCTTAATATCAGTTTTATGCCGGTGACGCCGCTGAGAGAGAAACGCTGGGATCTCTTAGAGTCTTGCCTTGTCCTCTACAGGTGGGGGAAAGGGCTGAACTCGGAACTTCCTAGACTGATTGTAAATATTGTAATTATTTTATTATAAATTATAACAATGTATGCTAATGAGCTATACTGATCCAAACTTAAATATAACAGTAATTAAAACAACTCTTGCTAGTCCTTTTTATCATGACGAATCTATTCATGGCATTTTTACTGGCTTGATCAGAAATAGAGTAATCTATTTCTTTTCCACTTCCCCTTCCACCTTTCTTCTCCTTGTCAGAGCTGATCAGTATATTTTATATACTTTTTGTTGCCTTAGTTATCTGATTGTTTCTTTATCTTGTGTACATTTAACCTTCTTTCCTTCTCTCTTTCTATACAAGATCTGGAATCTCATCCGATTGATTGTAGTCCTACATACCAAGTCTGGAGGCTCATTCCTTCATTCATATTTCTTCCAGAGACTCATCTTTCCGTTTGTGGTTACCGTCCTGTGATGTCTTAAGGTTCATCGTCTAATCGTTCGTTGTCGGCTTAGCTAGTCGACCAAGAGTGATTTGGGTGTTCATCCGCCCGACAATTGAGGTCTCTCTTTCTTTTCTAGCCTCTTCCTCTTCCATTGAGTCATTTTTTCTTATTTGAATACGCTCTCTCGAGACCTTCTGAGTTCCCTATAACCTACCTCATCCTCGTTTAATAGGTTATACCATAATGTTTTTTTTATTTTTTCTTAATATTTGCAATATAACACGAAGGATTCTCTCAGAGAACAGACAAATTATACTAATTATGTAACAACTGTTAATCTGTGTAATTATAAATTATTAATGTTATAATTATAAATTATTTAAATATTCTTTTGGCAGGATTGCACAGGAGACGGGCTGGATATCCTAAGCGAGCAATGTTCCGCCTTCAACAACCGCACCTTCGCTGGGAAGAGGTACACCTGGCAGCCGTTCCAACACCGTAAGTCTCCAACTTTATTACTTCCTCTTTAACAATTCTCTGTCTTTTGTCTCCTACTGTAACACATGTCTTATGTCCAAGAATCTCATGTCAAACGCCTTCATGTTTTATTGGCTACTTATGACTGTATAACTTTTTTTTTTCTAAAAAGAGACCTGAAAAATATTTAAAAAAAAAAAAAAACTGTACCACCACAACCCATGAAGGGTCTAGGGTTCAGTACTATTTATGGAAAGCACTGTTTCTAGGTCAACGGTTGTGCAAGGAGGTGACGTGACCGAGATCACGCTCAACCCTCAGGTTTTCCCCCTTATTTAATTAAGGGTGAAGCCACTTTATAGAGACTGGGTGTGCCCCAGGAGGGTCTCTCGACCCAGGGTCGCCCAACGGCCAATGAAACAGATAAATAAATTTTCTGCCATGAGCCGGGAATTCGAACCTGGGACTTTTAGAATTGGAAGCTAAGTACCCTACCACTGAGCTACCCCCACTCCCTTAAATATAATACCGCTTTGAAAAAATATAATATATGAAAATATATACAAACACTTCAGTAATAAACAATGGAAACCGAAGAACTTGGAAAAAAAGAACTAATGAGATTTAAAATAAAATAATCCAAAATCCTATAAACAGTAAGATATTGCTTTTCTGAATATGATCAATTATAAATCTCGAAAATAATTAATTTACATTTTTAAATATATTATTAGATTTCATAAGTAATATGTAAATGAATGAATGTAGAATTTTTTACTACTATACGAGTTTTGCTCCACTCCGATGGATGGACAAAAGTTCCCATAATCTCACTATTAACAGGATTCCAAGAATGATCGAATGTCTCCGAAGGTAGACGGAGTTGTCCGAACGATCTGGTAAAACCCTAATCCCAATTAATGTAATTGTTTCCATTTTCAAATTGATTTTTTTTTCAATTGCTGGAAAATCGTTTCAGCAATTGATATTAGTACGAAATTGTGTTCCAATTTTAGAATACTTTTGGTAATGTTAGATTTTATCTTTGGAATAAAAAAGAAATGTAATAACGTCCTTGTATTTATGTTTAAATTATTAATTCATCGAAAAAAAACTTTTACATATGTTACACATATATTTCAATTCTATAGAAGGTCTAGTATACATAACTTCAAAAATAATTAAATAAATAAAAACTGTTCACCTTTGTCCTTAAGAGTGTTATTTACTGGTTTGTAATTAATTAATCGAATGTTAATTTCTTTCACTATAAAAACTTTAATAAAAATAGTTATATATAGATGTGTGTATGTGTTCACAGACAGACACAGGATTCCTATAAATAATAGGTGATTCTACCAAAAATAGAACTTTTAAATATTTAGTCTCTTGAATATACCCTTCAAACGCTTTTAGCAGATTTCGGTAATTTTCATTTTTCACAAACATTTTGTGTAGTGTATGGTGCTGCAATTGTGAATTACCCAACTTAAATATTATTTTAGTTATTACGCCTTATTAAACAAATAAAACTGGATTTTCCTGATGATTCAATCCAAAATCGCAGGTTACCACAACCGATTTTTGTGTTCATCATTAAGAAAGGCTGTAAAGAAGATTTTGATTTCAAAAATACCTTGGTGCTAGTTGGCGATATGTACTTACCTACGTAGTTACGTATTACCTATGAAAATACAAAATTCCAGTATCCATTGTGTCTTAACTTATCTTATGAAAATAATTTATTTGACTCAGTTTAACAAAACAATCACACATACATTTTTCTTTTTCAGAACTCGACCAAAACATCTAAAATAAACCTAACTATGTATATTCAATATAAAAAGTTGCAAAATTAGGGTGGTATAAACAGGTTTTTATCTATTAGACTAGGAACTACCGACCATTTCTTTTAACGGAAGTACATAAAGCTAGTAACCAATTTTAATTCCAGATAAATCTCATCTGAACACACAATTTCAGTCTGTCGATTGAAAGCCGTTGTTTTCTATGCGAAAATTTAAATTAAACAGGCGAAATTGGACGGTTCATTTAACGGCTGAAATTTTGATATGATGTCAAGAATATGTCCCTAAAAGAGAATTCATCTAACTGACGTAGTCTGTTGCGTTTTGAAAACTGACGCGTCAAGGTCATTAGATTCGGCCAATCGGATTGTAGTTGAATGAGAAAAAAATTCAAGTAATCGCTTTCACTTTGATATTTATGTTTTATGGCATACCAAACTGAAAGGACAAGAAACCGCTCGACTTTTCCGATTACTTCAGCATTTACTAGACAAACGCTCTAAACTTCCAATTAATTACAAAAGACTCATATACATGACTATAATAAGGCCTATTTGGACTTACGTAGTTGAGCTATGGGGCTCCACTACACATGGGGAGAATGGGGCTCCACTAAACAATCGAATTCCTCTCGTATCCAATCCCTACAACCTTTCATAAAATTCTTAATGCTCCCTACTTTGTTTCAAATAAAACCATCCATAATGACCTTAATATTTCTTATGTTTCAGATCTGGCCCAATCCAGATACCTATCCTTCCATAATAAACTTCAGAATCATCCCAACCCTTTCGTTTCTAACCTTGGTTCCTCTTCAATTCCTGATAACCCTCCGAGGCGTCTGAAAAGGGCATTGCCCTGTAATCTGCTAATGTAGACATATCATTAGAGTGCTACCTAAAAAAACAGCATAATTTCCGAACTTTTTTTGTTGTTTTTTTGGACATGACTCCGAAACGATGCATTGTATCGAAATTATTATTATATACAAAGTTAAATAAAATAAAATTTATTATAAATTTTATTCATTACTTTTTGATATAGATCCAATGTGTGGAGATAGCAATATTTTTATTCGTTTTTAAATTTTTGGAATACTTGATTCGCACATTAAAAATAAAGGAAATTTGGATTATCGTATCACCTGAAAAATAAGTGTGCCGCTCACAGATGACTGTGCTCCGGGGGAGGAAGTACGCACAAAAAAAGGTTTTTAAATTACACCTGGGTTTCTTATTGTTATAATATAGACGTAATTCACAATCTCTATAACAGGTAGCAGCACTAGCGTTGGTGCTTGGCATATCCCCGCTACATAGAAGATACAAATATATAAAGTATCTTAATTTGGACAAAGCAAAATATTGAACATTAAATTCATTTTTGATAAAATTAGGAGCATTGAAGATTTTTTGGATTGTAATGATTGGATACGGAAAGATTCGGTGGTTTACTGAAATCCTGAAACTCTACTCTATAATTTTAATATTTAAAGATATTTTGTTCAAAGTTGTATATTTTTGTTCGGCTATAATTGGATCGTATATTTGTATAAAAGAAATACAGGTTGGGAAGAGGATCCTAGAAGCTGTTTCTTTAACTCCACCCTTGAACTCTTTAATTGTCTCCTTAGGCACCAAATTAAGGCACTTAAAAATCACTAACTTTAAAATCCTGAATTTTTTGCTTGGGATCGGACCATGATCCATAGGTAGTTTTTTAATGATCTTGTGATCTACTTTCACCCCATTAGATATATTACATACTTTTGCACGACACTTTGTATATACATATAGTTCAAACGAAAAAAAAAAATATTATAATAAAAAAAAGATCACTAACTAGGAGAATTAAAAATGGAGGAGGGTAGGTTTAAACTGCGCTAGTAGTGTTTACAAGGGTTGTTTCACATGCCACTCGGAAGAGCGTCAATAAACACAACTGTCGCGTTCGTTCAACTGAAAGGGTTAGTCTGATTACGAGTCAGTTTACCACGAAATCGAAGCAGCATGGATCCATTGAAAGGGGTAGTGTAAGCTCGGAGGGAACGTCGGAAGCAGATAGTATCTGACAGGTGTAGGGTGAAAGTTGGAGGACGGGCAGGGAGCTACGATAACAGCTATCAACAGTCAAGGAGGCAATTAAAGAGTCCAAGGGGGGAGTTAAAGAAACAGCTTCTAGGATCCTCTTCCCAACCTGTATTTCTTTTATACAAATATACAATTCAATTATAGCCGAACAAAAATATACAACTTTGAACAAAATTTCTTTAAATATTTAAACTATGGAGTAGAGTTTCAGGATTTAGTTAACCACCTCTCTTTCCATATTTTTCCGTATCCAATCCTTACAAGCCAAAAAATCTTCAATGCTCCTAATTTTATCAAAAATGAACTTAATGTTCAATATTTTTCTTTGTCCAAATTAAGATACTTATCCTTCCATAACAATCTCCAGACTCAACCAAGTTTCTAACCCTCCACCCTATTCGATTTCCTGACAAATCTGCAAAGCGTCTGAAAAGAAAGTGTCTTCGAGATTTTCTAATCTAGAACTGTTATTAGGGTATGTCAATCGCATCATACCAATCCACATTAAGTCGTATTTTCAATTAATACAGTCATGAATTTTAATAACTAAAAATATATAGAAAAGTTCTACAAACCTTTAATAAAATTTAAAAACGAAGGGCTAAAGTGCTCTCGATCAATCTCCACTGGGTTTAGTACCAGTAAAGCGGTTGAGAGAGTAGCGCAGGGATTTTCTAGAGTTCTGCTTTTCCCTCCTAAGTTCATGGGACAAGCCTCGGAATTCCCTCGCCTGATTATAAATAGTGTACATAGCTATGCATGTGTTTTTTTTATACTTTATTTATCTTTAAGTTATTTTATTTACCCATCTAAAATAATCAATTACACTAATGTGCCAAAATAAAACGTTTATAACTATAAAAAAAAACAAATAAATGAAAAAATAAAATAAAAAGAAGGATCAAAAGTTAAATGAAATTATTTCAATGGGTTTTGAAATTTATAAGTTTATAATATCTTTATAAGAAAATGGTCATTCTACAACATACCAAATAGAAGCAAATTTGTATCGACTTCAAATTATTGACTTTTTTTTCAATAGAAACTTGTTTTGAACAATAGATGTAAAAATGAACCTTTCAATGAGTTTTAAAATTTGTTTCATCTTTGGAGTCCAATATTGTAATTTAAAAAAAGAAATGATGTACTTAAAATTTTAAAAATATAATTATATCACAATAAATTTGAGTCTGGTATTTATAAGTTAAAAGGAATGATTAGTGGAGATCAAAAAAATCCCTCTTCTAAGTCAATAACTTAATGTATCATTATTCTGTTTTAATGAAATGGAATTTCATCTTCAATTCATTGTTACTATTTTTTTTTTTTTGAAATCTGAAGTAACCAAAATTTTATGCATTTATCATAAAATATGTAAAAATATGCTACATAAAATTTTTCTAATTGCATATTCGTACACTGATTCGTATAGATATTTCATCACCAGTTAAAAAACTGCATGCAAACAAAATGTGGAGTCCCACAAAAATCCGGAGGTTATTATTTGGAGCTGTTAAGTAATATACCACTATAAAACAATGAGGATAAGACCTAATTGGTATTAAAGACCACTTCATTATACAATGATACACCGAGTTTAATCAAAATCGTTAGAGCCGTTTTTGAGGAAAATTATAAAAATGTGTTTCAGCGTTGATATAAAGTGTCACTTCCGGTAAGCCGATTTTGAGGAAAAAGTTGCTGTCACATCGAAGGCATATACCTATCTTAAATACGTAATATCAGCTTCGTAGGACTTTTCGTTTTTTAGCTAGACGACTCAGGGTACCTCAAAACGTGTATTTCCGTTGAAAACTCAGATTCAAAACTTTTCTCGATCTCAATACTTACCCTTACTATATATTACATATATACGTAAGTGAAAGTAAAAATAAATAAATTAAATGATTCCTTTAAAAAAATCATCTAGTCTCAATCTGAAATTACATTAAAATATGGTATAATTAATGAAAGTGCCAAAGTAATAACTGCTGACACATTTGTAGGACAATTCCTGAATAAGCTTTAATTAATTCCAAATCCTAAGTCCACTGGTGATGCCACAGGATGGCTTTAAACCAATAGGATATACACTTTGCCACAAAGGCTCACTAACCAAATTCGGTGAAGTGGGAGAAGGACTTAGCGGACTTGATCCTATAGAGGAGGTGGAGCGCACGTAGGGCACTTCCATGACCGCCACTCAATACCCCTCCCCCCCCCCACTATTCACTCCCTAAACCTCTTCAAGGGTCCCTTGTCTCCTGCCAAGTTAAACATATAATCCCACCTGCCTATTAAGGCAAATTAATGCAACGCAGAGTGGGACGAATGGCCGATCTAGGTGGAAAAATTAATGGTGAAATTTTTTAAATCCAACGTAATGACATAAAAGAGGGATGTTTAATTTGAAGATAATCATAAATTGTTTTAATTTTAGAGCTTCCCAACGATAAATACAACTCTGTAAACAACTATTGATTTAATGGCTCATGTTTTTTTTTTTTATTGCCTCATCTTTCATTTGAGCTAAGTTAGTAAAGTACTAGTTTTTTTTACAATAACAATTTTTGAGAAGGAGTTGGAGGAGGGTGCTGTCAAAGAAATACTAAATTATACAAATAGTATTATTAATTTTTTCCGATGTTTCGACCCACTTTGCAGGTCTTCATCTGGGCGTAGTATGTTGCCATACGGGGAGGCAGTTGGAACACTTGCCGTTGAAATAACAATTTTTATTTGATAGGTATAGATGCCTAGTATTTAATTAAATCATTCACCAAATTATCAATTCATAATTTCACCAATTAACTTACTTATATCAATATGTTCTAAAAGAAAGTAATTTTATAACTTCAAAATTTATTGTCTAAAATATACCCCAAAATACCTCTGTGAAATTTTTCTCAGACGTTACTAAAGAGGTATATTAAAGAAAAATTAAAGTATTGATTGCCTTTGTCTGCCTTTTGAGACATTATTTTTTAAAATAATTTATTATAATAAGGGAGTTATTTTTTCCCCTTTTGGCATTACAGACCATCTACCGTCTTAGGCTATTTCATTCCATTTATCTGCACGCAGCTCTTTTGCATCTTTGTTGATTCTATCTATCCATCTGCTTTTTAGCCTTCCATGTGATCTTTTGTATTCGATTGAGGCATTCATTGTTACGTAGAAGCTTCCAGATACTACGAGCTACATGCCCCACCTATCTTAACCTCCGTGCCTTCATATCATGGGATATCGATTGACCAGTTTCTATAACCAGTTCTTTATTGGTCTTTCTTCTCCATGTTGTTGTTGTTGGTTTGTGCTTTAAGGCGTAAAAACCTAGGGTCCTCAACGCTTGTCAGTTATTTTGGTTGTATACTGAGTTCAGAAACTCCTGAAAGAGAAAAAAATAATCAATAATCAAAAACTAATAATAAATAAATAGAATAATATATGAACGATTTTTAAGAACATATGAAAATGATTTTTTTTTAAATCATTATTTCTTAATGATATTTACAACTGTATTAAAGAAATACATTTAGTAAATTTGAACATATGGATATAATATATATATATATATATATATATATATATATATATATATGGATATATATGGAATATGTGAAAATACTTGTTGAGAAACTATCCAATGGTAGCACTCTAATAATATGTCTACATTAGGAGATCAAAGGGCCATCTTCTGTTCAGACGCCTCGGAGGATTATCAGGATTTGAAGAGGAAGCAAGGTTAGAAACGAGAGGGTTGGGATGATTCTGATGTTTATTATGGAAGGATAGGTATCTGGATTGGACCAAATCTGAAACATAAGTAGTATTAAGCTCATTATGGATGGTTTTATTTGTAACAAAGTAGGGAGCATTGAGAATTTTACGAAGGATATTGGATTGTAAGGATTGGATACTAGAGGAATCCGATGGTTTAGTGAAGCCCCATAGCTCAACTCCGTAAGTCCAAATATGCCTTATTATAGTCATTTATATGAGTCTTTTGCAATTAATTGGAAGTTTAGGGCATTTGTCTAGTAAATGCTAAAGTAATCAGAAAAGTCGAGCGGTTTCTTGTCGTTTCAGTCTGGTATGATTGAAATAAATAAAAATTAAATTAAAAAGTATATTTATTTATGTATTTTATTTAACATAAAACTAATAAACATTTATGAATAGTACAAAACATTTAACTTGGTGGTATTTACTTGTCTAGTGTGATTTTGAAACAAAAATTATTTTTAATTACACTGACACGTGTAATAAATAATATATTAAATTATTTAATAAATAACTTAATTATTGTAATTCGACAACATTAAATCAAATTCATAAATCAAATTCCAAAGAGATAAATCTTGATATAATATTTTTAAAAATTATTTTTATCGAACTCAACGATCCCCAAAACATTAAAATCGACCATAATATAATTTTGTCCACCTCAATCCGTAATTTTGCCCACTGTGCAACGTTTCGTGCTGTAAAATATAAATCAAAAGATTGTGACAATATTTTTATTTTCTTATCGACGCCCATCAGTTGAATAGAACACACAAAATTTACAAAGAGGGAACAAATATTTTTTTATTGTATTTTAAAATAAAGGTTTTTAATCTGAACGGATGTGAAAGCATATTATCGAATAAAAGCTTTGCCCAGCAGGCCATTACGATAATTCTACAACATTGTAATATTTTAAAAGTATATTCAAATAATAAAAAAAAAATTCTTTAAAATGACCTCGGATTATCGAAAGGTCGGATTATCGGAGTTCGGTTTACCGAGAATACATTATTGAATACTTAATTGTTAACATACATATTAAGGAAGGAGATGGTCCGGCGTGGCGGTCATAAATAGACTAAATAGTGGCAAAACTATTTTATTAAAAGCCAACGTTTCGACCCGACTTTGCAGGTCTTCTTCAGGGCTAGAACGGACAAGATACAAAAAGGTATAGTGAATTGTGGAAGTT